TTAGGGATACGAAAATTGTTTCAACCCATACGAAGAAGTGCTTGGTTTTTCAGTGAATTTCTCTATCGGTTGTTTCTTTTTATACTCCGAGAAATTACCAGATGCTGATAATTTCCGTTTCTTGTTCAGATCTGGGATTAGATCATCAACTTGTTTACGTTTTTCTTTCTTGTCTTTCTGGCCATTTTTTTTTTATATTTTTGGTTTACTGATTTTTTTTCCAAAAAAAGGTAGGGTCGGAGGAGGAAAAAAAAAAAAAAAAAAAAAGGAAAAGAAAAAAGTTTTCATAATTATCTTCATGTTTGGAAGGTGAGATACTTTATAAGTATCCCTTCTTTTATGATTAGTCCATTCTCATTCTGATAAATGTGATGCGTATGTTGTACTTACGAGAGAAATTAAATGACCGACTGTCTAAATTCCACAGTGCTTATAAATACGCAAAACAACAAAATAGCATCCACAAATTGATAAAATATCATGTTGCCATTATTTAATATACACACGAGATGACCTCGCCGACCCTTCAAAAGAGTCGGTAAATCTTTGATGTTCACACACATGTAGTCCCAGTTGTTTAATCCGAATCATCAAAGGTGCCGAAACTCAACTGACTTGCACTCATTTATTTATATAACAGAAGTTTAAAAACCTGTCAAGAAAAGATTACACATGTTAAATTATTGTCCAAGTCAGAGACATAGACATAATCAAGTTGAAAAATATTTCTATCGGAAAATTAGCGGTCAATTACTGACATGTAAAGTATTTATAGTAAGTGCATTTTTTTATTTTGTTTGAAAGGAAACCCATATCTAATCTCCTTTTAAAGACTATTGTTTTTGTTAAATCTGTAAATAGTGATATTGTCACTATATATTTCTTTTTAAATTTAATTTAATCTGATTCTCATTGAATAAGATTTCTCTCGCTGTATCCATGAAAGTGATAACTTGCGTATTTTTGGCTTGCTTTTTTTTTTTTTTTTTTTTTTTTTTTGTAGTTGTTTTCTTTGACATTTCTACACAATTGGACCTTCAAAACATATGATTTTATACATACATACATGAATTATATTTTAAATATATAGATATTAACCTAATTAATTTGGCGAGAATGGTTTAACTGTCATTTTGCAGTCATTTTTCTTCATGCAAAATACATCGCCGTCAAAAATTATCTCGACGTTTCTTTGACAAGTCTAATAAGATATAAGTTGGACTTCTATAAATCTCCCATAGAACATTTAGATCTAAATTTGATTAGCGCATATTTTGAGTACTTTTTTTTCGGGGCAGATTTTTTTTTTTCATTTTCACAAAAAATGGATGCGGCGGGTCAGTAAACCGAAATATCAAAAAATAATGGCCTCAACAAAGTTTCTAGTTCTTTGCCAAAAACACCATCCCCTGACAAAGGTAAATTGTAATAGTCCCATTTATCAGTTTGTTCATGCAGACCTGTATCCTTCATACAACATGATCTTCTAACAATATGATGGAAAGCACCAGTTCTTCCAATTTGGTCTAAACACTTCGTACTCATAGCAAAAATATCTTTGACCATCTGAGAAGCTTGATCTCTTTCAAAATCAGTAGAATTTAGCATTTGAAGTAGGTTACTGAGACTTTGTTGTATATACATTTGAATAACGAGTCCTAACCGAGCAGCTTGCTGCCCTTTATATGCAACTTTTTCTATCATCTTAGCTGGTTGTGTATATAACTGTTTTCCTTTAGCAAAAGAAGCCCTAGGCCCATATCTTTTAGTAAGACATACTTCTACCATATCATCCAGTGATGGCACCTCTAGCAATTTTTCAGCATCTGCATCAACTGAAAAAAGGTCAAAATTTTCCTCGGCAAAAGCAGACAAAAAGTTTGGTTGTTTACATCTATAACCACTATCAATAACCTCAATCTGTGATTTGTCCAAGGTTAAACCCTTTTTCTGTTCAACTTTTTTAACAACTGCATCTTCACCGAACATTTCAAATAAACATTTTCTTGTATTTTCAGAGAGATTTTCCACATTTTCCTCCCTATTGTTGTTTTTGTCCAACATGGCGCTATCATTATTTTCATGAGCAAGAGAAATTTGACCGCCAGCAAAAATTGACAACATGTCAGAGTCAGAATCATCTTCACTGGAGTCAAATAAAAATTTGTCACGATTTCCTTTAGAATTTGACTTTTTTCTTTGTCCATTAGTATCATCATTTAACTGATTTGTCACAGTTTGTTCATTTTTTTCACCGGATTGTTTATCTAAAAAAGTTTGCAACATTTTTTCCAAATTACACATTCTGTTGCTCAATTCGTCGTATTTTTTCGAACGACTTTTCTTTTTGCCTTTGTCTTTAGTCAATAGCAATTTATTAGCAGTATTTTCTTCTGCCGACACGTAAGAAACGGTGTCATTTCTACCCGATAAATCTCCACGTGTTGGCGACGCCATATTCTCGTCATGAGGCTCGTCAGAAAATGTGTCGTTTTCAGACGTAATTTCACCCTCTTCTGAATGATGACACGTCGCCATAAGACAAAACTGGATAAATCTCAAGTAGAAAAACTAATTTCCACTAAAGAAACTATTCAAAACTAAAAATTAATCGCGGACGAAGCGAATACTTTCGCAAGAAAAAGAGAACTGACGTTTACTGTGGGGGGAGGAAGTAGATAACTTACCGAGAGTGCGCATGCGCCTCACGAAAAGTTTATCAACTTCCGGGAGAAAGTTTATTATGCGGATCAGAAAAAGAGTATTCATACTGTTATTCATACTGTTATTCCAGGTAAGTTTTTATTTATGAAATAAAACTCCATTGCTTGCTACAATTGTACAGCGCGCAGTAATATAAAATTATTATTGTCTCTTGTTTTGCACGCGATATTTGGCGCTACATTGTGACGTCACGTAAACAAATCTTCAAACGTCTGTACAACGTTAATAACTGAATTAAAGATATTGGTGTTCGGATTCATTTTCTTAGTTAGACCATTTTCTGTCATTCTAGATAGTTTTCAAAACAAAATTCTACAAAAAGTTGTTTTGTATTTATCAGATTTTTCAAACAAAATGGCGAAAGAAGTCCCTTAAAATAAATATGAGTTTTGACTCCGCCCACTTTCATATATAAATTTCATATTCATTTTTAAAAGATATGAAATATATTTGACTGATATAGATCTAGCACCATATTTCATGTGTAAAATTAAATAATGAGAAATATTGATAGAATAAAATGCGTATTTTCATTTTCCGTATTTTCACTGTAAAATTTTATTTTTCACTACAATGAAACATATTTTCCATATTTACACTGATATCTTGTCTGACTACTTTCTTCTAAATTCTTAAATGAAAATTTTTCAAACTGTAATGTCAAGAAAGACAGAAATATATATAATAAACAGAAAATTCGAGTTTTTTTTACCATAAATACAGGATTTATTGTCATCTAGTGGTATGAAAATTATCATATTTACCGCCACTCATGAAATATGATAATTTTCATACCACTAGATGACAATAAATCCTGTATTTATGGTATAAAAAACTCGAATTTTCTGTTTATTATATACATTTCTGTCTTTCTTGACATTACAGTTTGAAAGATTTTCATTTAAGAATTTCATCTATTTATTGACAATCCGTAAAAAGAAACGTGCACCTTATATTATAATTTGAGATAAAGATGTACGACAGACATGATAAATATATAAAGTACTAGTTACATATTATCGGGATCATTAGTACATGTTTATAAAATTGAATTTAAAAAATCATAGATTACGTGTGATTTATACTTACTTACTTATGTAAGTCTATTACTAATCACCAACCAAATTATATAAATTTTGCATACAACACTTTTGAACTTACATATTTAAATCGGTATTCATTAAATATGATAAATTAAAAAACATCATTTGCGAAAGGATTCCCTTATGCACGGGCGCCCCGAATAATAGGATTAGGGACCTCACTAAATGTTAGTATTTGGACGAGATGATAAATTAGTTTTAATTAGTTAGTCTCAGTATGATGCTATCTTGATGGTTAAACCTTTAAAGAAAAATAATCTAGATTAATTTGTCTTCAACTATATTGCTTTTCGCTGTAGGGATACTACCAAACTCTTCGCAGCGGTTACTTCCCCTGATCAGTACAGACACTACAATTAAAGTAGCAAAGCGTGACGTAACCGTTGTGAAGAGTTTGGGATGCACTGTTTTACAATTTTGAAGTTGGTTTTTCAAAATAATTATCTTTTCTTTAATTTCCATGCCTTTGGAAACTTTTGAATAAAGTTTTCAACACAAAAGGAATGAAAATAATCATGGGGAAAGGAACTAAAATCCGATCCAACTAGCTAAAGTTTTATGTATTTTCTTTTACCTTTATTATAATAACATTTAAAATGAAATACTACCGACCGAATAAACTCATTAACATTTGTACAGCCCCTTTCAATATAATATAAGTTTAAAACATAAATTCATTTTATCCTCTGAAAATGACTACATGAAAATAGTAAAAAAAAAAACCCCAAAATACAAACAAACAAAAGAATTTGCATTTTAACATGTTTTTAAAGATTTGTTAACGGTTCTCTCACTTAAAGAATGGATTATCATAACGTATATAGTTTACTTAGCATATAATGACTTTATCACGAGAATCAATTATATATCAATAAACAATATGTACACTTTAGTTGAGAAAGCCGCATCATAAGAATTATTATAAAACGTATACTATTTTGTTTGTAAATGTAAACAACCAAATTGACTGACTGGCATTCATTTTAGCAGAAAGTATCAACCTACTGAATGAACCTTGGTTTATCTATTTTATGACAAAATCCTGCTTTCAATTTTGTGTTTCACAAATTTAAATAAATACGATAATAATATCCGTGAACTGATAACGGGGCTCGGGGCTTCTATTCATTGGGTTTCGCCACGTAACATATTGCGCGGGTTAAAGGTAAAGTTGAGACGAAATTGATTCTTCTTACAGCTGTGACAAGATTTTTGATACTCGGATCAATACGTACAAATAATTGAATATTATCCTTTAACATTGTCGTATAACACGGATATTACACGGTCTTTGTTGTTGTTGTGCACACGTGTAATATATTTAGTCATGTCTGTTTAAAGAAATCAGATTTGGAAATATAAAAGCAGAGTTTATCAATTTTTCAGTAGCATTTTTAAATGTCTGATAAACTTCGCTAATCTTTTTATTCTGCTGTGAATTAACTTTACAATATCTTCACGATTTCGCGAAATAAAAACAAAACTAAAAATGAGAAGTAACGAAGCAGCGTTCACATTTGTGTTTGTTATGTCATTATTTAATGTAATAGTTTGTAAGACAAGTTTTGTGAAGGATCAGAGAACAGATTTTGTGTTTCCACCTGTAGATCAACAAATAATAGCCGGTATTCCAGAGGGTCATCTAAGACCTCTAGGTAATAAAAATATTCTTTGCTCTTCTCTTCTCCTTTCTATTATATTTTATTCTGGATATTTATTTCATTAAATATTATACAAAGCCATTGTATGATTAATCATTACTGCTGCATTTTCTATCAAAGAGTTGAAACAACTAAATTATTTATATCGTTCTTTCTTTATAGGAGGTATATCAAGTCGAGAATGATTTTTCTTTACATTCTGTAGAAAGGGTACATGTAATATGTGTTTTACAATGTTGAAGTAATTGAGTTAAGAACATGTAATATAAAGCAAGCAAAATGTATGGAAATTAATTCTTTATTTTCGTACAAAATACTTGATCACTATAACTGTAATTAATGAAGCATTTCCGATGGGTATTTTTGGAAACTATAACAAGACACAAAAATAAGGAACTTTAGAGAAATATAAAAGCATTATGGAACTTTATGGGCATATCACATCATTTCAAATTGATCAATAGATAAAAAAATATAGATCTACCGTCACTTTTCGTTATAGCATAAAAATAAATAAAAAAATTTTTTTATTCATTCAACTAAGGATACACAAATCCTGCGTCAGATGTTCCCTAGATAAGATATAATCATAAACCAACGTTATGCATACACAATTTGTGAAGAAGGGATTATATACTCTTTGTAGGCTTATCGACCTTTTGTTTTTAATATAATGTCTATGTAATATACATTTTTTACATTATTTTCCTATCTCTTTGATAGCACTTGAATGATTCGAATATTGAAAAAAATATTTACATAGAAATATAAAGAATATAGTGCCTTTTTAAAATGCTTGTTTTTGTTTTAAAGCACTTTACGATGAGCTTTCTCCTTCAGGTTGGCAAAAGAAACCGGACGGTAAGGTACGGGAGGAGAAAGATCCTATCACATCCCAAACGTTCCATTTAAGATATGTAAAGAACAGTAGACCTGTGGTACTGAGAGGGTTGATGAAGTATGCCTCTGTAGCTGAGAAATGGGAGGAGGATTCTTATCTTAAACAAAAGTAAGGCGTATTTTAAATTAACCTTCAGAACCGCCCACTTTGTTTCTGGCAAAACGTCGTGCACGAGTAAGCAGACGACAAATCGCCATGAATCTTTCGTAACTTGTCTTTGATCTCTGTATGTTTAAAACTTCAGATACGAATTGCTAACTTTTATTTTGTATGAATTGTTAGAAGTTTGATCATGTACATTTTCATAGCTTCAGTAACTCAACTAAGACTGAAACCCCAGATTTAAATACCAACAAGTGTAGAAGAAGATCAGTCAGCGGATCATTGTCGTCTGATCATGGCCTGCACTGTTCCTTGTTCAGTACATACCTTAAACATTTTCCTTAAAAGGATGAATTGCTATATTCAGATTGAAAGATTGTCAGTATGTTAAGAGATTAAGCGTGTTAGAGGTTAACGTTTTTTCCGTTCTTTGTATTATTGAGTTTGAGGTTCTTATCCGTAGTTTGACGGAAAGGGCCGAGAAGATGGGATTGTTGTGTTCTTTGCCATTTACAAAAGTAAGACGAAAATGTCCGAAAGTTAAGATAGTATATGTGTAGCTACAGGGACAGGGGATGGTGGATGTTCTATCTAAACTTATATATTATAGATATGGTAAATTAAATGTTACTATCGCTGTGAAGAAAGAAGTCTTCAACTCGGAGCCGAAAAGAAATAAACGCAAGATGTTGTTCAAAAAATTTCTACTGGACTATATGTACGAAAACTGGTACCTCTCCTCTACAGTCCATGAAGACATGATGGCTGAACTTCCGGTATACATATTTTCCGAATTTTTTTTTTCATTGAAAACATAAATTGAAAATTGCAAAGAACTATAAACATTTTTGAGTTGAAAAATTGCAGCACTTGAGAATACAGTATCATTATAATTATGAGAAACAGAATTGTTTATAATTTGTGTCTGGTTATAGGAATTGTTGATACAGGTGTTTATAGGATGTGATTTCTCAAGATATTTTCTAAATGTAATTTAGAATAATTCAACAATATCTTCATTCATTCAGTGCAGACTGAATCATTTATAATTGACAAGTGTTTAGACTAAACAAACCCATGTTTTATTTTCCTTGAACATGTTGAATCATATTCTTATCAGCACATATAACAGAAACATGATATATTTTCGGATGTACTTTCGATGTCTGTAATATTAGAGTACACTGACATAATTCAGACATTGACTGACTCACATCCTCCTTGTTTTGTTCGATTTTTTCGGTGTACATTTTTTTTTTCATTTAAAACATTTTAACAGACGTTCCTCTCAAACCCACATAAAATAATTTGGAATGGCAACAGATATCAAAATGTCTTTTTATCAATATATTTACTAAAATTATCAGAACAGAGCTTTACATATTCGAATATGTTTGATTTCGTCAAGGGTGAGGAAGGCTGAACTCAGGCCAAATATTACGTGTACACAAAAACGGGCCCTAAAGATATTCGGTTAAGTGCAGGCAGTAAGGACAAAATTATGTCTGTGGGTATTGCATCCGTGCATTATTGCAGGGCGTCATTCGTCATCAACTTCTTTGTTAAATAATCTATGAGGAGAAGTTGGCAGTTAATTGAGGGCAAGACAGTTAAGTGTTGGGTAGGCCTTACACAATTGCTCTTCGGTAGATTACTGAATTACTGATAAACTCGGTCTACATTCAACAAAATAAAAAACTGTCCCAAATAATCCTTAACACGTAAATAAATAGTCTTTGATACGATAAAGACAAAATATTAAAGATATAGGTTTTCAAAAGATAACAAATATATTTTTAAGCTTCCGGATATTTTGTCATGCGGGTCCTACAAAGAGCGACTGACGGAGGCTGAGTTATGGATGAGTTCTGGTGGAACTTCATCTCTTCTACATTCACATGGAGATCACAACCTTCACTGTGCACTAGACGGGAGAAAGGACTTCATCCTAATTGATCCAAAATTCAAAGATGTCTTTAAGTTTCAAGAAACCGTAAGTATCAGTAATTTAACATATAAACAACATACATGTATATAGACACATGTTGTACACTAAATTGTTCTCGTTGTTGAACAAATCTGTAATTTGACACAACAACCTCGTCTATTTATCAATAAGTGAATTAGTTTTGTCTATAAACAGAGCTTACAACACTTTTTTGCGTTTCAGGCAATAGTAAGGGAGCCGTATTTTCTTTTTCTTTTTTACCGGTTAATGTTCTACAACTGGCTATCTATTTACAACTGTTAGTCTATGAGCATTTTACAAAATATAAAATGTGGCAAATAATATAACATTTTTTCTTATTTAAATGCCACTTCATGAAACTTAATAAAGGTAAATTTATTTGTATTTTTAAGCCATTGATACAAACGTGCACCTTTAATAGAACATACGTTTTATTTTAGACTTGTACATAGAACATCGCCATGCAAATAGATAAATAAACAGTTTGTCACGTCTTTTTTACAAAGTTGGTCAGTGATACAATGGCGTCATGGTTTTGAAGCTTTTTTAAAAAAAATAAATTTAATGATTTCTGCCCATTAATATTTCAGTACCCTAATTCCGGATCTGGCCATTCTCCAATGGACATGGAAATGATAAACGCATTTAAACACCCGGGGATCAGTCAAACACCGTGGATCTGGTCAACATTATGGCAC